TAAACTATGTATTTTTTTTATTATTATTATCGTTAATGAGTAAGTGTACTTCATAAACTAAAATGCATAAACCTGATGATTACATACTTCAAATAAATAAGCTTTATTATACATAATTTAATAGGTTTGTGTTAAACTTATCTAAAAAAAAAAATAATGTAATTTATGTAATGATGTTAGATAAATCTTAAAATTTGGGTGAAATATTTTTGAAATAATACTCTGTGAAGCCACCTTTTTGTCCATTGGATGTTTTTACACCCAGGGAAAAATATTGAACCTTTCCTATTTGCAAAGCAGCTAAAGTTCAGTCAGATTGGTTGGCAGACACCTACAGTAAAATTTTTAGGTCTTTGCATAAGAGCATAATCATCTGGACTCACAATAAGTGGCTCTTGATTTGTTTCAGATCATCCTGTTGGAACTGTAACCCTTTGTAAGAGGAAAATGTTCTGTAGTATCAAGTTTTTTCTTTCAGGGTTGCCCTGGATTTGCCTCTATCAGTTTCTTTGTTGTATGTAAAGCAACCCCACAGCATGATGTTACCACCACCATGCTTTGCTAAGTTTTTTTTTTTTTCCCCCCACACATACAAACCCAAAAACTTTGGATTTTAGATTGATGTGACCAGAGGCCATCTTCTTTGCGTTCCCATATCAACTACAGATCTTGCTTCATTTGACTTTCTTTAATAAAAGTGCATTTCTCCTTACCACTATTCTATTTGAAGAAAGACAACAAAAATTCACAATTTTTAAGAAAATCCTGTATCCTTTTACGTTGCACTTTGAAATCATAACTCACTCTAACAGCTGTATTAGAGCCTAAACAGCTGATCCTAAACTGGTTGTGCTTTTAGCTTAAATCCCTTCAGGGTGTGTTTCATCATAGGTCATTAAAAACAATTATCTGCTCAGCTTCCTGCACATTTGTAAGGATCTGAACTTCAAAAACAAAACTAAAAGGAGGGAGCTGAATCCTTCCTCCTAACATGTTCATATGCACTGAAAAATATGGTCAGTGAGTGCAAATTATAGCCATAAACTCGGGAGTTTGGAAGAGAATTAAACAGCCCTCTGATGCAGGTCTCTCATTGGTGCCCTCCTGTGGACATGATCGGTATTACAGCCAAATATGCAGTTTCTATAATAAGAGCTCAATAAAATAATAGTTGGATACATTTGCTTAGGAGAAGGGATATACTTCGATGTAAATAAAGTTTTAATAAAATTAATCTTAAACTAACTGCAAACCAACCAATATGTGATGATTAAATAAAAACATCCAGAGTCATCATTTTCACAAAGGACTTAAGATTTTATAAATATTCTCTCAACATTACATTAAATCAGTTGGGATGATATAGTCTTTCAAATAAAATAAAAAAAATTCCAAGAGATCTTCAGAGAACATGATTAAGTGACAGAAATCCGATACACATAACTCTCTCTACTCCAAAAATATCTAAACTGTATAATCCCACATTTTTGCCAAATATATCAAAATATATGCCAACAATAAGCATCAATACAGGCCACAGAGAAAGCAGAATCTCACAGGTTGGTCAGGTGCTTTTGTGTAATGGAGTGAACACACACACACACACGCAAACACACACCTATCAGCGAATGTTACTCAGTGTTTCACGTCGTACTTCGCTAAAACTTTGTATTCCTGAGTGCTTGCTCAGCCTTGTTGTCATGGAAAAAGGATACAGCTGTCTCCGTTCGAAAGCCTGTGGTTAATTTAGTTAGGACATGACAGCAGGCTATCTGAGTCAATGTGTTATTGCAAGGCTGACCAGCACATGGGAAGGGCAACACATGACTTACTGAGCTTTGCTCGGAAGTGCCTGCATCTATTACAGCAGCGAGAAGATAGGGATGCAAGGGAAGATGCTGCTGAATAGATAAGAGACGTTCATTGTGCAGCATCTACATACGTGCATGGCCTGACCTCCTAGGAGCTAAAGGATTAATGTATGTTCTCATGTATAAGGAGGGAAAAGCTGATTCACCAATTAACCTGAGCACAACAGAAACAGACGTTTTTGATGATGTTAAGGGTCAATAGAACAAAAATCTAAAGGAGCAGTTCATGAACATGTATCTTGGTTTTGTTAAAAGTTACAAGCAGTCAATATCTTAACTGTAGACAGCCTCATCATTTCATTTAAACATTTATAAAAATTAGCTGGTAGGTGCAGACCAAAACCAAATGAGACTGAACTTTAAAAAATATATAGTTATTTGAAAAAAACATCAATTCATTAACTTTAAATCTACAATCTGAAAATAATGCAAACTTGCATTAAACAAACTCAGAAACAAAAAAAAAAATGTTCTGATATTTTGGGCTAATCTTTTTCTATCATCCTGGTCTTCAAATACTTTTTTTTTTTTTTGTCCAAACGTAAACGTAAGTAGCGGTTCAGTAGCTTGGAGGTGATTTTTGGCCCCGAGAATGATTTTATGGAAAGAAACATGTCACTTAAACAAGTGTTTCACGGGGAAGATACAGTGTAACACACCTTATCATATCCAGCAACAGAGTTAAATATTCATCTCATGACTATAAAGTTTAGAAGAAAAAAAAAAGCTAAACAAACTTTGCTGTTTGGACTTGATCCCTCTCTGCAACTAGCACTTAAGTTCAGCCTCTTGGACCAATTCAATTAGCTTTAGGGACGATATGACTGCTTATATTGTTTTAACAGAACACGGAACCATCCCTTTAAAGTCCATCCTTCTGTTGCATCGCTCAGGCTGTTATTGGACCAAACCGGACCTCATTTACAGCAAAGGTGCTTTAGGCCAAAGCTGCTCTGGTCTCACCAAAGCTGAACTATACTTACACTTCTGCTATCAGACTCACTCAGTTTCTAAGGTTACAAATAAACTATTTCTGTCTTGAAGCACAAATACAGGGCTAGGATATACATAATTAGTCCCAAATAACTTAAACTGACATCTTAATATATTCAATTGATTTCTCTATTTAAATATTCTTTTCTTACTTTAAATATAACCGCTACAGATCTTGCAAGAAAACAAAAAATACAACACTGTGCATTGGCCGCCTGCTTGTTTAGAAAGAAAGGGCGAGAGAGCATGCCTGGTGATTCCTGGGGTTTAGACATCTATGGGCTCCTGCAGGGGAGCTCCTTGCTAGCTCCTGAGACGGCGCCCACCTCTCTTTGTTTGGTCAAACATGGACTGAGAAACAACCTGATATCAACTAAACAGAAAGAAGAAGTAATGCATATTGTTTTTTTCAAGATTTGTTGAGCTCATTCTTCAAAAATAGTAACTCTAAAAATATATTGCATGTGCCGTCTTAGTAAATCGCCTTAATAAAATATTCTTAAGGAATAGGAATTTTAAAGTCGGAAAGTATAACTTGAGTAATTGAAATAGAAAGAGGAATTATAGATGGCTCTACATTGGGGGGTGGGGATTTACAGCTGTAGAGTAGTGGAACGCACACCGACCGGAAAACAGCTGCAGGTTGAAGGCAATGGAAGAGCACATGGTTCGTGACCAGAAAAAAGTTCATCATAAAGTACAGACCCCACCCCGCCCAATAATATCCACCAACCGTACCCTTTAAATCCAAACACACATCTATCACAGTGCTACGTTTGCCTGCACGGCGACTCAGGACTGCATCCTGAAGCCTTCTGCACATCTAGTCACATTAACAGTGTGAATACAAACATAAATATATATATTTATATATATATAGCATGTATTTATTTATGAGAGCAAAAAAAAAGGAATGACTCTTGATCTATACTGATCTAAAACTGAGACTTTGTACTAACGTACTCACAGCGATTACATCCCTAATGTCTCCTTCTAAAAAGGAAAAAAAAAAGCAGCTCTGCCATTTACATCCTGCCAATTCTTTAGCATCTGCAATGTAAAATAAAGAGGCGATCGTGTTTTATTGTGAAGGAGCGATTTAGTGCAACAAAATAGGGGGAGACAAGTGCTGGAGAAGAAGCAAGAGGGGGGGAGATGGGGAAGTTAAAACTAGTGCCTCATCCTTTGTTTGGTCTCCGCTGGGTTGTGTGAAAAGAAAAAAAAACATTGAAAAGCCGAATGGACTGAATGGGCTCAGTGGCTGAGAGATGTTTTAACAATACCAAACTAAACAGCTACAGGAGGGGTGAATACTTATGCTTTTATGTTCTGAACCATCATGGAAAGTCTAGACATGTGCAGCCAAAAGCAGCGTAGCGTAGCATAGCATAGCTCCCCATTTACCTCAATTAAGTTCCTCAGTCATTAAAAAAAAAGAAAAGAAAAGCAAAGTCCGACTTTATTTTGGGACGGCAGATATCCTTGCTTTACAGCAGATGAGAGGAGATCTGCTTTGCTCTCACCGTGAGGAGAAATAATCCTGTAGAACCTATTTTATAAGTGATATATGGTCATTTTCATCCTCAGCTTACCTTGAAACTAGTGAATTATTTTCACAGAAAGCTCCACTTCATCTAAAGCTGCTTGCTTGGTTTGATTAACTAAATATCACCATATTTATCCCCTAAACACACACATACACACACGGACGCACACACCCAATGTGCAGAGTCAAATGAAGGGAAAAGGATGACACTCTCCATTAGCTGCTCCCTCAGCCATGCTTGTCGAGCGGCGTTAACACACAGCTGACAGGGTTAGGTTGTTTCCCTGGAAGCACCTGAGCGCCGCGCCGGACCGTCGCTCTGCCGGCGGCTCTCAAATGGAACAAACATGATTGTTGCATGTTCTGACTGGAGCCCCCCCCACCCCACTCGACGTCTCTGGCAGAAAAGGCATGGTGGGGTTGAGGAGGTGGGGGGTTACGCTTCTATGGAAACCAATAAGCTAAGAAAAATGGAGTGGGATGGATTTACCGGCTGAGATTCCCTACAACATTCTAACTTCTTGGTATTTAACTAAAGGGATCTGTGCTTCATAATGCGTACATGCAAACCCCCCCACCCACTTTTTCCCATTGATTGCAAAGTCCTTCAGCTGCCTCCCTCTGTGCAGGAGGCGCAGAATTGGGACGACTGATTCCAAGGTGCTCTACTGCAGGTTCTTTAAGATGCGTCCGTATCTGAAGTCGTAGACGTGCCGGCAGAGGTACACCAGCTCGGGGTCGACGTCTGTGGGCACGCAGCGGTGGGAGGGAGGGGCGAAGTCAGGGCGGAAGGGCACCATGCTGGCCCTGCCAGGTGGGGCACCTTCAGCACGCCGCTTCACCAAGGCACAAAATCTAAGAAAAAGTTAGAAAGGTAAGAGAGCATTTAATCCCAGGAAAGCGACGCTGAGAAGATCTGGGTGTTTTTACTCACCGACAGTACTGGGCCAGAGGGAGAACATAGCATCTGTCTTCTATGCAGGCCACACTATTTTCATCTTGATGCCGAGAGGCGAAAATCTCATTCTGAAAGCAACAGTGGGCGTAAAGCGTCACATCACCACACTTTAGCATGCTGTGCCAAAAGAAGGGCTGAAGAAACAACAGCAACACTTTGCAGCAGTCAGCTCAGAGCAAACTAGGAAATGGTGGGGTTTCTTTATGTGGCGAGGCCAGATGCAAACCAAACCCTCCTCTGCTGAGCAAGAAACAGCTGCAGACTTTCACTAGAAACTATTCCTCTCCTTGTTCAGAGGTCAAACAGATAGCATCATATATATTTTTTTTGATTATGCCACTGCAGTTAGGTTGGAAAACCAACCCGATATCAACAAACTCAGACCTGCTGAGGAAGAAATAATGATGTCTTCAGCAAGAGTCGCTGTCCACACTACTATACACCAAGCAGCCTTCATATTGATGTTACTTGTTAAAATATGCACTGCAATAGGCTCATCTCTAAACAACAAATGCTTTTATAGCACAAAAAACAGGTTGCACAACTGTCCTCTTCCCACTGGGAGAAATTATCTCCTGGCTGCAGTCTGCCGCCGCCTCACCTCACAGTGTGCTCTGGGATCCCGGCCTCCCTGGGTGTGCTCAGGCCTGTAGTACCAAAAAAGGCTCATCATCAGCTCTCCTGAGGAAGATCAACACAAATATCAGCTGAACAGTTTCTGCCATGCATTCTTTCACTTAAACATCAGTCTGTGAACTGCACCACTAGGAAAAACAGTAAAGGGGCGTTAGACCACCTAGTTAAACTGGAACCCACAGATTATGAATGAAAAGCTGGAGAGAATAAATAATCTTTATGGATTTTCTGTAATTTGCTTTGCTATTTTTACTTTAAAATTACATTTCTAACAGATTTATCAAATGTGTTTTTTTTTTCCCTTCAAGTAAATTCTATTTATTAAGCACTTTATATACCAACCAAAGTAACCAAAGAGATTTACAGCCAGGTCCATTGATTTAGTTTTAAACATTTCATTTTTCTTAAAGCTACATCTTTTATTTTACTGATTTACCATTTCAAATTAAATCCAACTTAAGCATATCTTTCAATACCTTCGCGGGTAATTGGCCGTAAAGCAGCAGCAAGACCAACACATTTCCGTTCCACATGAAAAGCTAAAGATGCGTTTAAATACAAATTTATCCCGTTAATTTCCCTTTCCTGGGGCTTCAGTGCCCGATCAGAGGCAGATATTTAAACTTTCACTGGGATTTGTTAAAGACACGGGGCATTAACCCACATTCCACCACCAGGCGAGTTTACAAATGTATTTTTTTTTTTTAAACATTCATTACTTAATCATTTAAAGAAGGAACCTGTGAAACATTAAGTCAAGTCTTAGAAGAACGATGGTCGCTTTTGATGCGCCATCTTTATAAATAGTGCTTGATACCTGAGATAAAGAAAGTGGAATTTACAGTATCCAACAACGTCAGGATAGGGTACGTTACTGGTTGCTTTGTTTTTTAATTAAAGCAAAAATTTAAAAGAATTAAAAACAATATGATAATGTATAAAAAAGTTAATGTTTGTCAGTCCTAAAAACTAATTTCCCATAGCTTCATTTACACATAAAGGAAATAGTAGTTTTCATTATTAGATTTCAATGATAATAAAACTCAAATTTAAACGTTTAATTATTATAATATAACAGAACTTGATTTCAAATTAAAATGGAAACATAAGTTTGACCTGAAAACAGGAATTTGAATAACCAAGCAGGATTGATTAATGACCCAGACTGAGAGACAACTTAGAGGCTCAGGAGAACTTGGGAGGCGTTTTAAGAGGCTAATTAGACTCAACACCATTAATTTTCTATATTCAGCTTCTTAATATCTTAAATCTTTTTTCGCTGCACCTAAAATTCTTCATCATAAACAGGCCAAGCTGTCAGTTTCATGCATCCAGCATCCAGAGGCAAGTAGCTCTTCCCAAGTGCATATTGGGGAAGTAGGCAAATTGAGCATCACTTTAAATAATTTTATTGTTAGATGATAACTAAAGAGGCATTACGGAGTTTTCTAATGATACTGCCACCTATGGCCAAAACACAGAACTGCAGCATTCTTCTCCTCATTATCGTAGCTTGTATATAATACATTTTTTTTTTACTTTCTTCACTTTAAGTGAAGTAGCCATTGGTGTCTGAGATGAGCTAGATGCCGGTTGCTTCTGAGTATCCACAAAAACCATCTTATTTTGCTTTGATTGTTTGCTAGGTTGGAAGTTTTAAACATAGACACGCTTGGCGTCAAACAATGCAGGAACTTCCAACCCAAAGTAAAATCTGGAAAATAGCCTACAGGCTTATAGATGCACAGGTGCTGAACTACTGGGGTGTCAGTTTGCTCATTAAACAATGTTTTCATCATAAAGGGTCAAATAAAAAGGCTATTTTAAAAGATATTTTCAGTAAAAACCTAAATAATGTCTCTTTAATGTTGTAGCAGTTGTTCACACATGATAAAGATGCTCTTTAAAGAGCAAAACTCCTAAGAGAATTAGTATTTCTGCTCATCCTGCAGGAAAATAATTCTGTTGCAGTCTAAATAACCCGGTATAATTTATGTTCTACTTTTAAATCTGCAGAAACAGAATGAAGGAGAATTTAAGGCAACAAAGCTTTCTAGACCTTTTAAATGCACCCTTTATTTATGTGAAGTTGTTACTCTGAAAAAAAAAATCCTGCTTTGTCTTTGTGTAGCTGATGGATCATTTGCAGCTCGACTTCAACCTCCCCTTCTTGTTTTTTCTTCTCACCTGTTTTAGGGTCTTCCCACAACGCAGATATCTTAGCAACATATGGGAGGGACTTCTTCCTGGGACCAGATCGTAGTAGGACAGTGTCTCTGACACGAATCACTTCACCGTCCCTTTCCACTCCTTCATAACACATCCTCATTGCAGCCTCATCTTCCCCCTGATATTACAAACAGAAGATTCTCTTCATTAAGAAAAAAAAAAATGAAGGAAAAAAAAAATTACCAATGTTTTCCTAAAAAGGGGAGCAACCTACCGCAATAAAGACCTCCCTCTCAGTGGGGATGCCAACGGGCCGCCAGCCATTTGTGGCACGTCTACGGCTGATCTTCTTCTGTTTACTGCTGCCAAGGCTCGGCACTGGGGTGGCCTGTTTCGTAAGGAGGTGGGTGTGGCCCACGGAGGAGCCATTGGAGGCCTTTGTGCTCTGAGGGCATTCCTTAGCTAGCATTATCCTGGCCTGGGGCTGATCTCGGCCAGACAGGGGGGTCAACAGGTGGGCTTTATTCTGTGTTGAACTGGGCACACTGGATAGTGGACATTTGGAGATCGGTAGAGTAGGGGGAACCAGTAATGAGGGGCTGTGGTCACCCTGTAGGGTCGTGTAAGCCTCTGAAAAAAGAATGGAAGTTTAATATATTTTAAAAACATATATACAAATATATCACCCAAGGTAATTTTATTTCGCCACCAAGTTTAATAGTACAGAGTAAATTGGTCTGGTCTTACCTGAATCGAACTCTGACAACTACAAGAATAACTAACAAAGAACCCATCAGAACCTAGAGATCATTAAACGTAGGACCTCAACTATCTTAAATTAAACTGCCTAGTATACCATAAAACCCTTTACAGATCTCTCCTAATTTTTGCTTAGTTGTTAAGACTTAAATAATCCACCAATGTTGTTTATTAAAACAAAAAAGCTACCTAACCAACCTGGTATTTTGTGAAAAGATGATTACCCCTGCTGTTAAATAGTGATCAGTTGTCATTTTTAGATTTTTTTAGACTGATTATTGATTAGACTGATGGTGTGTTCAAACTGAATGCTGTGTTCTTGGTAATTTCTGCAAGCATCGCAGGGGGTTGACTCTGAGCATTTCAGGTCAACCTCAGCTTCACCGTGGCACCAAACAGCAGGAGTTTTAGCTTCTATTTCAATTCCACCTGGCGGAAAGAGATTGAGTCACAGAGCTTGTTTTTTGTATCACAACCAACACTAAAAGCTGAATCTAGATGATGATCAGATTCAGCAGCACTTCCTTGTATCTAGCCGGGCAGAGGGCACCAGAGCTAGGGAGAAGAAGCAGCTGGCCGGTGTCTTTGCTGCAGGATGATGAACAGCCTTCTAGGGCTAAATTAAATCAGCTTTTTTCAAAAGCCCCCCTATAAACCTCATAAGAGCGTTCCTTATTTCATCCTTTGCCAACACCATTTGCTCTATATTCCATTTCAACTAAAAATAGTTTTTTCTAGGCTGCACGCTTTCAACCAACTACACAACCATGACCAGCCCCTGATCAGTTACCATGACGTTGGGCTGACGTTTCAACTTCAGCAATCACTGCTCTGCTCTCCAACAATGATTGGGGAGTGGCCATCACTCTTACCTCATGGGATCTACCGCTGGTGAATTTATCTCTCTTGCCTGCATGGTTTGCATGAGGATACCATGTAAATCCACCAGTCGTGGATTTACATGTCGTGAACAATGTGAAAAGTAGCTTTAGGGTTAAGATTATATCAAGAAAGCATCATCAAGCCCCAAAGAAAGGAGCAGATCAGAAACTAAGAAGCTTTCTTGCTAGAAGCAGAACCAGGAAGGTCTGGTGTTGATTTTTTTGTTTCAGGACCTGGACAGCATGCTGGAAATTTCAGAACCATTAACTTTTCTCTCTAACAGAAAATGATAAAGTCTGAAAATTAACTTTTGACCCAGCTCAAGTACTTTGCGTTATGCACTGGGAGAACAGCTAACTTCAAATCCAGGTGGCTCCTAAAAAAAAAAAAAAATGGTAGGAGTTGGAGTGACCTAGTCAAAGCCTGGACCTAAATCCCACTGACTCGTCACCGCAATGACCTTAAACAGACAGCTCCAGAAACCAAATCAGTTTGGTTAATTTATCAAATCTCTGCATACATTTCTGAAACATTAAACACTCACTTCCTAAGAACATTTTTCCTAATTAAATAATCTTTTGGGGTCTTGCTTTTCTCTGGTCATCTTGTGTCTAATGTGGGATGTAAATAATTATTTATCTTAAGAATTTAAGTATCACAAAAACAGCAGAAATCTGTGAGGGGGGGAAATACTCTTTCCCATTGTAATACACGGTGAAATCCAACTGATTTAAATTCAAGTAAATCTAGTTTATTTATATAGCGCCAATTTCCAACAATGTATTTCCTAAGGTTTAGACCTACCCCAAAGTTGACAGATTGAATTATATTCAGAGAACAGACTTCTGAGTTCTTGGGTGCATCTTTCAGGCTACATTTTTGACTTCTGTTTATGTGTAAACATGCAAAGCCTGCAGGCACAGAAGCAGGTTTCTCCTCCCATCATTCTACACACAGTCAGTTAGAGGAAAACCTGTTAGAGTGTCTTGATCTGCACAGCTGGTAGAGGCACATCTCAAACGAAGGCGCTGTCTTGTATTTTATGAAAACTAAAGCTGCCTCAGTGCAAACATCCCCAGCTTTTTCCTCCCTGTCCCACTGAGTTAATCCAAGCAGTAAAATAAAGAAAACCTGCAGTGTAAAAAAGAACACAGCCATAAATTTGTTCAACACTGACACGCTACTTGCCTAAAGAAAATACTATGAAAAATGCTACTTAGTTTTTCTTTGATGTGGGTTACAATCACATCTTGATTTACTTAAAAAATCAGACATGACAGATTTTAATTTACCTGTTTGAGAGTTACTGTCAGAGTTTTTTAAGCAGTAAACATTTGTAAGAATCCGATTCATCTCCAGACTTTAAAGGTTTAGAGGACGATCTTTTATTTCCGGGTGGATCATCTAAATAAGTGGTCTGTCCTACATGCTCCTGTTATCCATTTCTGCACACGCACACTTTTAGGGGTATATCTGTGTTGAGCTTCAGACAGTAATCGAAGAAAACCTTTCTGACCTCGGTTCTTTGAAAATTGGTGAGGGTGGTAAGAGAAAAAGTATTTACTGCCATAGGAAGTTGCTACCTGACAGTGGCGACGAATAACAAAGATGGTACAGGCACCATGCAGTGGAGGCGGAGTTACGTGACCAACTCTTACCTAATTAAATAAATATTGCAGGGTTTAGCCACAAGGGCAGAGATGGGAGGGAGGCTTAATGCCTGATATTCATCATAGCTGTAAAGCATCATGGCTCATTTTTAGTGCCCTTTACAAAAATACTTGAATCATAAATGAAAGGACATTAGCAAATATTGAAACGTCTTTAGGAAGCTAGAGCTTGGAAACAACTTGAGCTTTCAAATACGAAATGACCCTAAACATACCTCAGAAAATAGCTATAAAGTCAAACTTTTGGAGTAGATATAAACCAAACACTGAGGGCAGAGCTAAAAATAATGGATATAAATATCCAGTTTCTACTGTATTTAAACATGTTTTAAATAGTAGTAGTTAATTTACACCGAGGCTTCATCTGTAGATTTATGTTCACTCACCTGTTTTAATGCTGTGTGTGCATCCAGTACAGCCTGCACTGAAAGAACAACTTCTACCCGTCACCGGAGGCAGTGATCTGTAGCTGTAGCCGCTGATCCCGCAGGCATCGCCATAACAGGGGGAAGCCACAGAGTTGCAGTAGGCAGGGTGGCCTAAGCCCGATGGGTGCGACACCTGACCTCCCAGGAGCTTGGATCCAGTAATATGGCTGGGGCACAAACCGGTGGAGCTGAAGTTGAGGGGCCGTGTGGCTAGGGCAGCTGAAGTCTGTCCAGTGTGCGTTGGGTGGGTGATGTGGACGTAGTAGCCGGGGAAGCAGTGGTCAGCAGTGCAGAGGCATGGGTGGGGGGTGAGGGCGAGTGCTCTGTGGGGGTGGGAATGTGTGAGAGATGGGGAGGTTACTAGGCACTCTGGCTTCACGGGGGTCATGGCTGACTTTATAGACTGGTCATCAGAGTCTGCGTAGGGCTGCTGGCCAAGGAAGCAGGCCAGACGGTGGCAGTACTCCACAGACCCCTCTGGGGGACAGCAGTAGTATGGGCTCAGTTCTGTCTCCAGCTGTTCTTCCTTCACCTGCTTTAGAGGGTATCCAAGCATGCTACGAGACTGATAACCTGGTTTGGTCAGGCGGTGGGTGCAGCTGCCCGTCTCCCACTCCACCTTGGGCTCAAAGTCCGCTTTCTTCTTGCAGGCTGTGCAGCCGCCGTGCAGGGGAGAGCGCTTTTTACCTTTCTGCTTTTGCAACTGGCGCTTGTTTTGGAGTTTATCTCCATGGTGCTGCTTTGGTGTCGAGTCCGCAGCAGGAGCCATAGAGTCGGATGTGACCGTTGCAGTGGGAGTGGCCTTTACTCTCTGTTTACTGGTAGCAGACGAGCTTGTTAGCTTCAGCAGGGCTGCAGCATTAAGTCCAGCTAGCCGTCTTGGTGCAGGTGCATCTAAACACTCCTGGCTCATCCAAACAGCTTCATCACCCCGACTGGCTTTAGCCTTCTTGCTCAGCTTAGCACTTTGACAAAGCTCAACCTTGTTGGGTATAGATACTTTATTAATGTTCCCTCTTGATACTTTAAGACTTCCAGGGAGACTTCTAGGTGGATCCAAAGGAACTGCTCCATCCAGAGCTTCCTCCTGCCTCCTGGCCAGTTTGGCAGCTGGTTGAGCATCAGTGGCTCTTTCAAGTAGTAAACTGTTCACTGCCTCAGCGTTGAGAGACGCCAGTCTACGTTTGCGTGGTTGTAAGTCTGTCAGTTCTGAATGATCAGCAAGATGTTTTGATTTCAGTTTGTTTTTTGGTAAGGACTTTGTTTTTAATCCATCTCTGGTTTTAACCATTTTGGATTTAGTTTTGGGCCTGTCTCTTCTTTCTTTACCTTTAGCCCGAACCTTTTCACGCGAGCCTTCTTCTAGGCGAGTAAGGAGAACATGGCACTTGCGTTCTTCCTCAGAATTCCCAGCTCGACCTCGCAGAGGGTACAACTTTCTGACCCGTTTCTTCTCTCGTCTTTGGTCAAGCTTCCGGCTCTCGTCTGACCTTCTTCTTTCTTTTTTCTCCTTCATTGTGTTGGGCTCTTTGCCTTCCTTTTTTCTTATGATCCCACTTATCTTCTTTGTCCTGCCGAAACGTAATGTACGCTCAGGGCTGTCAGTGCCCGTGGTGCCACCATGAGGCCAGGTATGGCTGGTATCCCACCAGTCAGAACTGGTCTGGTTCTGCCTGAGGGAAGCTGACTGCCTTGCGTGAGTCATCACATCTTTTTCCAAAGTGCCTGGGGAAAAGAAAAAGAGGTTGGATGAAAAAATATTTTTTTTGCACATACAGATCTCAGCATCTACAGAACACACCCAAAATTGAACATCTACTTCACTTAGTTCTCTCTTTCTTTATTGTTTTAATAGTTATTCCAGTAGAACCAACAAGTTCATTTCTTTTAGTAATTAATTTCGAAGACCAAAAGTCATTAGAAACATTTCATCCACACAGAATAAAGTTAAAGGTTTATATTGGTTATTTTTAATGATTATAGCTAACAGCTAAAGAAGCTCTGTAATGTATTTTTTTTCCAGAAAGGCAGAATAATACATTACACTAATAAAACACAGGAGAGAGGGACAGGCAGATGGACCTGTGGCTTCAGTTAGGTGTTAAAGAATCCCAGATTGCATTAATATCAGCCTTCAGCTTCACTGTGCTGTTGGGTCTTGAATGTCTTGTTTCCCTTCTGACATTGCTCTCTAGTTTCTCTGAGTTTCAGGTCAGGAGAGCTGAACGGCTGCTCCAACACACCGTTACTAGGGCTGTGCGATGTGTCTGAAAAATGGCCTTTTATATCAGGGGATAAGGACATTTTCTATTAACATCAATGATACGTCTAGTGTTATGTATATTGTTACTGTTTTATGGCCCAGGACAAATTGTTGCTATCCTCGTTAAACTAGGGAGTCGTTATGCGACTCAACAATAGAGGGAAATAAACTGCTCTGAAATGTTCTTGGTAAACGGAAACACAGTGGACCAAGAGCAGCAGAATACATGACTGGAAACTTCAACTGGATCTCATGGAATCTGTGCTTCATCCTGAACCTGTGACCTTGATTTCCAACCAAAATGTGAAGTATTCTTTGATTTGTTTGACTGAACACTAATACAGTTAGGGCTGAAACAATTAATCAGAATAATTGTGATTAATTAATTTAGTAATTGATTAATCGTTAACTGGAGTTTAGAGACTGTAAAATATGCCTTTAGCTGACAGAGCGACCCATTTAGAGCAGTAATTATATCAAAATTGTAAAAAAAATAAATAAATAAACATTTGCATTTAAGATAAAGATGTTTTTGTCTGTTAATATGCTCTATCCAGAACCCCTAATGTGGAGAAGATTTAGTTTCACCTGGTTTAATTTCGTAAAAAACTTCTTTAAGGAACCTTTGGCTATCAGTTTATTTGTTGATTAATCAAAAAATAGTCAACAGATTAATCAATTTGCTAAATAATCATTACTTGCAGCCTTAAATACAGTCCTTTATTTTTTAGCCCAGGTGAGATTTTTCCTTTTACTTCAGCTTCAACACAGTGACAGTTTCAGCTCACGTCATGTTTGTGATGTGATCCTGTCAACAACTTCAAAGTTCTCGACTTGATTTTGCTGCCTAATCCTGTCGCTCTCACACTTTTTCCTTCCACTACACTTTTCATTTAGATGTTTGGATACAAACACAATAAAACACTCCACTGCTGTCCAGAAGAAAAAAAAAACATTAATTTCAAAAGGAGTTAAGTCAGCAGCCTTTACAAGAATGTGTCCAGTGTAAAAGAATATCCACGCATCAGATTTGTTATTTATAAATTGGTCTTACATGCAAATCATTTTTAAGAACATTCGTATCAGGTTTATAATTAACTCTAAGCCAAATTATTTAAAGCAAGAACATAAAATCCTGAAAAATATATCCCCATGCATAATTAGTCTATAAGCTGATTACTGGCATTGTTTTAGTTAAGTTTTGAAATATTGCAATGCACAGGAATCAAGAGGACTCTAAACTACACAAAGCTAAATGGAGGATGAGTTTTATTTTGTCTGTAGATATTGAAAGCAAAAGCAAAACAAAGCAACATGAGACCAAATGCTTCAAGAGTCTTAGCGACATTCCCCACTTCACTGATGCCTGTTCTTGTTAAACTTTAGAGACACGATCATATGGTTGAAGTTCACATATTAAAACGTGCGCTTGTGATCCTGAGTTTTATGTTTTTAAAGCAGTAGAAAAAAAGCACTCCTGCTTTCACTTGTCTCATTATCAGCCAGCATGCACATGCAGCAAGCAAGCAACAGCTTGTTAGAGCCAGTATTTTAGTCTCTAATGTTTCGTTTGATAAGTGATCCAAGAAAAAAAAAAAAAATACTTAAAGAAAATCTAATATGGCTCTTTGAGCAGTTTGGGTTGCCGACCCCTGGTCTAGATTAAATAAAAATTACTTTTTATCTTTTTTTTTTGATGAACAATAAATAATGCTACTCTTAGGTAGTTTGGCTTTTAAAATACAGTTTTCAATTTATATTTCAAATTGAAATGAAACTTTATAACATACTGTTGATGACTTAAAATATTGGTATACTCATCTTGGAAAAAGAAAATCATATTACTCTTTAGTTGCATCCCTAAGTTATGTTGTATTGCCTCAAGTCGAACTCATTTACAAAGCATATCTCCACGGGATCCTTCTTCGTTGAATAAAGCTGCACAGACAGTATGATGTTTGTCTAAATCCATGAACTTACTGATTATCACTGAAATTCAGCACATTTACTGAAAAGCTATAACAAGAGTCTGGGGTTCTGGAGCAAAACGATCCAGGAAAAGTAATGATAATGTTCTATTTCTATTAGCTTCACTCAGCTGCTTTTACATAAGTGGACAATTATAAAGCTGACGGCCCATTATTAAGTTTCAAAGCAGAAATGCAGTCAAACCTGCTACTAACTGCATTTAAAGAGATCATCTTATGCACATTTCTACTGGAATAGATTTTCTTACGCTTCATTGTTCAGGGCATATTTTTCCCCTCATAATGTAATAATGCAACGTTTATTGCCCCAATTTGAAAAGCTTCATTTGAGCTGTGTAAGGTTGGACTCCTAATAAAAAGGCTCATCTGTTCTGTGTTGTGGCAAAGGCAGTGGGTGGAGACGGCAACAACCAGCTGGGTAGTAGATGCTTTTTATAGGAAGAAGAGAGAGATTTCTACTGGCAGGCCCTGAAGAGAAATTCTTCTAGAGCGCTGGTGAGAAAATATATATGTACTTTAAGGCAATAGTTATAAAGACTGTCTAACAGCTGTCAGAAAGCAACATGGTTTGTTTTCACGGTTCTAATTGACAGCAGAAATGAAACGAGACCTTCCTTCTGTGCTCTGACCATTTTAAGATACTTTTTTTCTGTAAAACAGAAGCGCAAAGCGTGGGTCTATCCGGGGGAGAGCGATAACATTAGCCGATGTTTGAGGCAGAGACGGGTGGATTATGATTAAGAACCTGCTAATGTCGCTCCCAGCGCTTCTCTTCCAGCTCCACATCCGACCTGAGATGTTGTTGAAGTAAGAGAAATTTTTAAAATATTCACAAAAGAATTGGAGGCTGATGTGGAGCTTAAATCATAGATTGCTGCTGTTCCAGATGATCATCTAAAACGAATTATTAGCTTCTGTAATACCGAATCAGAGCCTAGATAGTTCTGCACTCTTTATTAGGTCTTTTATAGGTTCGCGGTTTTGGTATTATTTTTTGGCTGGCAGTTGTAAAATCTAGTGTTGCGCTGATGCCATTTTTTTTGGCCCTGTTATCCGATACCCAATACCTGGCTATGCAGTATTGGCCGATACCATCTGTTTGAAATTGATGTGTGTGTATATATGAAGAACTGCATACTACTTGGATGTACAATAAGTGCCATCATGGCTTTATCAAGCTGCTGCCTACCTTTGTGAAGCAGCAAAAAAGCCTAAAACAAAGTGAATCCAGTAGAACTTTTTATTGCCTACCTGGAATGGGTGACAATAGCTGAATAAAGTTTTGGCTCTCAAAATGTTATCGGTGCCCTATTTGTTGGTACTCGCCTATACGGATACCACCATTTTAGTGCTGGATCGGGGCCCTGCCCAATACTGGTATCGGTATCAGTGCAACACTAGTAAAAACCCTGGCTGAGAAGGACAGGTGGAGTTGCTAGATGTGCCTTTAAGACTATAGTAGATAATTTCTTGTAAAAGCGGTGGAGGATTCAATTAAAGTATTATAAGCTAATTCATATCTTATAAATTAATAACTGGTTATACTATTTGTACCAGAGACTTTTAAAGCAGTGTTTCTCCTCTGTATGTTTTTTATCGGGGCGTCATATTAGCTGCCACCTTCCAGCTCATAGTCTGAGTCTAAGGCTAGATCTGCTGTGGATGGTTCTGACCTTTAAAGGGGAACGCCGCTTTTTATTTTACATTTGGCCCTTGATTTTACGTTATTACATCATGTTCTACTCACCCGTGCGCCGGCTACCATTCATTCATCCTGTCCGCTGAACTGCTGCTAGTTTTACTCACACTCCTGGAAGACGTCTAGTGCTACTACCACAGATGATCTCGCTCTTGAAATGGAATTGAACAATTCAGATTAGCTAGCCAAATGAATATAAGGGGTAGAGCGTAGCCGCCTGTGGCCCTCGCTGCCTGTCACAACTCCAGTACGCATGCGGGGATGACGTCATACACGCACCGCTTTGTTTTTAAAACATATAAATATAAAAAAATATAACCGCGGATGTCTGGGGGACAGTGATTCGCCTACATGTTATGGATGCTGGCGTACCATAAAGAATAAATTATGAACAGTTTAATTTGTGCCTTCAAGTCGATCACCCATAGGAAGACGTTACTTGGATTTAACAGAACAGAATATCTTCAGAACGGCTCCAAATGACAAGACTCATATGGGTGAGTAGAACATGATGTAATAACGTAAAATAAATCAAGGGCCAAATGTAAAACAAAACGGCGTGTGATGCTTCCTTACTCCTCAGCATCACTACCTGAGCTCAAACTGGACGATTGTTCCACCACATAAACCAATTCCAGACGACACCTTCTGGAAAACCCAGTAATGTTTTCACCCATCTCCATTATAAAATGTAGAACTAGCTGTAAAAGTGTTCTCCCTCTGACATCAGCACACAGAGATGGGTTTTAGCATGGAGCTATTAAATATGGAGCTT